CTGATTTTATTGCAATGCTTTATTTGGTTATATTTTGTTGTGTTGTCTGATTTTTTAAATTTGTTTTCGTTTCTAATGTACGGTGATATTGTCCTTGTGATTCTTGTCTTCAGGAGCTGGGGATCAAATCTTTGACATTCCAGTTGGGAGATGCCGGACTCTACCACTGAGCCACCCTTAAATAGTAGAAAAGGTCAAATATCCCTCTTCTAGGTGTGAGTCCTCTGGTTTGCAACAGTGGGTCGGACAGGGTGAGAAAGTACATTTTTCTGAGCCACATGCCCCCAAGAGTAAATCCTCAAGAATATAATTCCATCAACATTCATAAATTTCAGCAGGATCAAGTGTGTGTATATGAGAGAGAGAGAGAGAGAGAGAGAGAGAGAGAGAGAGAGAGAGAGAGAGAGACCTGCGGGGTGTACAGACTGCGACTGGAGGCCAATAACAGAGCGATCGGCCAGCTGACCGCAGCAAGGAGCCTTTAGCTCAAAGGTTAACGCAACAAGAATTGATTTGACACGCAAATAAAACGTTTAAGACAACTTTACCTCAGGCAGCACCGCAAACACTTACAGCCTGTGTGACGGAGAAAAAGAAAAAATACAACACTGTCCCACAAAAATAACAAGACGTAAATAGTCAAACAAACTGCACACACACACACTCTCTCTCTCACATGGCCGTGGGGCCCCTCGGAGGGTATTATGTAACATTACCGCGACATATCAAGTGATTTCACGCACCTAGAGGCAGGACAATAAAGCCATTTGTTCAGCAGGTCAAAAATAACTGCCTCGTACATCGACGTCTACGATTACTGCCGTTAATACCACAACTACTGTGTCTGCACTGCAGCTTTAAAGGCCCCTGAGTCCAACGCAAACACAATATATCTGCAGAGTTTAATATGGTCGATGATCAGCAAAGATACGTCAACCAGGTCTTGTTGCTGCAGGGACTTTATGCTGTTTTTTTGGAACAGAAATGCTGCACATACTTGAACATGTTGAATGAATAGTGTTGTATAGCTGCAACAGCGCTAACATCCCCCATGATGTTGTTTAGTGATACATTAGCTCTGCTCTAAATGAACTCGAGACCTGTTGATTAAAAGTTAAAGTGAGGTCAGGTTACTCAGACAAACACAACAGTGAGAAAGATTAGTGGGGAGAAAAAGGAAACATTAAACCAGAGTTTAGGCTTAACTGAAGCTCATTCACTCCCTCTAATCACTGCTTTGCTGCTATTACAAAACAATAGGAGAAATATATAAACTTGAAATTAGCCTGAAAATACAAGTTCTAATGTTACACAATAGATATCCACCTTTTGTTTATTTTAAACTATGTATATGACCACTGCAGCTATCACAATCATGACTGTTGTTGTCAGCTGCTAAAGCATCTCCTAACTCTGTTGAGTGAGGTTCACGTTGTTCTATTTATATATTCATGGAGGAGCTGCATTGTTACATGCAGCACTATCCAAAAGTTAACCAAACAAACAGGTTGCTGTGTGTATATCAATGTGTTTGTGAGCAGAAGATGATCTTAATGTGACATAGGTGAAAAAGATATTGGTCTTGGTATTATAAAACATTTTAATTGTTCTTTCTCCTTACTTTTAACTTTTACAGGAACACTGTGTCCTAAACACAAGCAGGCCGCAGACGATAACATGGTGAGGGAACCCTTCACCTGGAGTCCTCTCTGAGTTTACTATCGATCATGTTTTCTTCTCTTAGTGGGACTCTGGAGATACAATTTAATGTTGACATCTAACTACTGATTCAGAGAGGAGGTTTGTTATTGGGCAGAAGAAGTCACCTGTTCAACAAACTCTGACTAGTTTAAAATGTCGGCCTTGTGGGAGTCTTACACCAAAAGAACTCATGAAACAAATATCGGTATCAGCCCTGATAGTCTCATTTGGTGCATCTCTAAATATTATCCAAAAGAGAAAAAAAGAAAGATCTACATGTTTATCCTTGAGGTATGCAGACTAATTAAAATCCTATTCAAGTAGGTTTTTTTCTGAGTTGAAAAAAGTGAACATTATAGGGTGCAATGTTTTGCAAATCCTCCCATTCTGTTTCTATTTGCGTCCCAACTGTTTGGGGAGCAGACGTCTCATATTGATCTCTGCCCCCTGAATTCAATCCATTCAAACCCTCAATGAGGCAGACTGATATAAAATTGTATCTTATATTATGTTAGATGTGTAATTTACAACCAGAGTGACTTCAAGTAATTTTTTTTTTGTTTGTTTGTAAGTTCAAGAGCAACATAAAGTGTCAGTGGGAAGTAATCCAAGAGGGCCTGCAGGTCTATTAAAGTACTCCTGACTGGTTTTAAAGGGCTGTTTCAGCTTTTTAAAATGGTACTTTCACATCTGGTGCATACTGCTGCCACCTTTGACTGCTAACCAGTCTCCAACTTCAGAGACTCCAGACATCAGGACAGTGTGCTTGACATTAAAAAGCTTTTTTTATGTGAGGTTGGATGTGTGTGATCGGAGAGATTAGAGATGGAGACAAAGAGGAGAGAGAGAGAGAGACAGTGTCAGTTGCCCTGCGTGGACAACACATATGTAACCAGACCCTACAGCAGTGGCCATGACCTCACCGGGTTTTTCCACACACACACACACACACACAAAGAGCACATAGCTGGCCCTTGGTGAGCATACAGTCAGCGGAGCCTGGCACAGAGAGAACCAGCTTCCATTCACAGAGTCATGCATTGTAATCCTACACAGTGCGATCACACGGGCATGCTTCACAGTGCACAATGCTAATCTAAACCGAAAAGCCAGCACACAAAGAAGCCGCTGGGTGACTTGTTTCTGATGGGCGGAGCAGCAGATCAAAAAGGTTTTGATCTCAGGTAAAAAGAATGAAAAAAAAAAAATTGGAGTGTTTCCCATGTGAGTCAGCAGGGACGAAGCCAAGTCCTCCAGGTGACGTTTGTTAAGAATACACAGTGATGGGAAGCAGGATGGCACAACAATACATCACTATAATTTTCATAAAGATGCCCATAATAGTCTCATATTTAGTTGGAAACTCTGATATTACCAAAGTGGACAAAGTAGTCACAATAGAGCTGCTTCTTTGTATATCTGAATATCGTTTCAGTCATTTTTAAGCACAGATGTTCAAACATTGGCTGCTTCTTCAATGAAACGACTTCCTGCTTTTCTCTGTCATTTATTAAGTGAATCAAGTGTGGGAGTTTTGGCAATTACATGGCGTTACTTTAAGCTCCCTGTAACTGCAATGTGCTTATTTTTTTATTTATGTTTTACAAAGTTAACACAGTCAACCATTTGTTGACGAATCAAAAAACATTAATCTGCAAAATTATCAATGATTTAAACAATTGTTAGCTTCAAGCACAAGTCACTTTTGACATTTCTATTTCTACCCGGTATCCGCACTAGAAGAGAAAAAGTTTATTTTTCAATTTGTAGACATTTTATTTGGATAACTCCAGACATTTCTCATGTTTGTTTTAGTTGAGTCAGGAAGTTTCTTCGGTTTGATTTTACATTTTTAAATAATCTTGGTACATTTGCCTTTTAAAGAGGAAATGTCACAGTCATGGAGGTCATATTGGAAAAACTTTGCGTTCTGCATGACTTATTGAAACTCGTGCTCTGTAAGAATAACTTCAGATATTTTCATACTGATGGTCAAATCGTTTAAAAATGTGTTGTCCTCTTTCTCAGAGATAGAGTGTTCTTGTTACCGCTAAGTCTGTCACCGTCTGGATTTGTTTATTTGGATCCGCTCATATTCGTTCCTCTGTAACTCCTGGCCACCATTTGGTTGTAATGTTTTTCATCCATTACTCTGTTCTGTCTTAGTTAGGGATGTAAAGATGAATCGTAAAATCGTGATAAATCGATTCAAAGGTGTCAAGATTCACATCGGTACTCTGAAAAAAAAAATCACAATAATATGTTGACCGTCAGCAGCTGTAGAGCAAAACTTAGAAATTGAGGACGCTCCGTCGTCTTTTAAATCGGAGGTGTGGAAACATTTTGACTTCCCCAAGACAGAAAATTGAAGAGGTGAGAAGATAACGGACGAGACAAAAACTGTGTGCAAATATTACAAGAAGACAGAGAACTACACAAATAGAACAAACAGCATAATGCAGCATTTAATCCACACCACAACAAGAAGCTCCAATCACCTCCACTTGTTGAGAGAAAAAACATTAAAAGGCCAAACCACACTGACAAGCGGGTCTGCAGCCCCTAAAAGAATATTGTTCAGTCATCATTTGTCTCCAGGAGCATTTTGTAAAATAAATTGTAAGAGAATTGTATCGTGAGTTGAGTGAATCTTTACATCCCTAGTCTTAGTGGCTTTTTGTTGTCTGTTTGTGTATTGTTATCAGTTTGTTGTTTTGTTTTGCCATTTTTTCTGTTATTTTGTCTTTTGAATTGTTGTAAATTTTCCTCATCCTGGCATGCTGTGAATTGTCGTCTATTAGGATCCCCTTCAAAACGAGATGATACAACTCAAGGGGCTTATCCTAATAAATAAAATACAAACAAATCCAGCCATTCATGCATGCAGTCAATCAAGGATGTAACTCAACTCCTGCATCTTCATAAGCAAACAAACACGTTAAAAAACATGGCAGCTCGAGTACGTCTTTCCAACTAGGCCAACACCTGTTTTGCACTTTACTGCACTTCTCTGAGATTCAAACAGCTTAGATCATTTCTGCACTGGAAAAACTGCTGTCACCCAGGCCGTGTAATGCATGTGTACGCTGTAAAAAAAATAAAAAAAATGCTGTAAAGAGGACAAGCTGTAGTCCTGAGGCGGTCGTCTGTAGACTGGCAACATTTTTCCACTCAGTGCTGACAGCTGTGGCCGAACTTCAACACGCTGAAGTAAAATATTACCAAAAACCCACAACACAACTACTTATTAGGCTACAGTTGGTATTCAGAGAAGTTTCTTCAGAGTTGAAGTGTCCTACCTGCTACTGGATGAAAAACGCTGTTCTGTGTGTCCGTCTTTAGGAGGTCAACAGAGGTGCTGGTTCCATCTGTGGACACAAAGAGAAGGACACATGAGTCAAATTCATATCATGAACTTGTTAAGTACATTAAAAAATTTGCTTCAAAGTGTTTTAACAAATTAAACCATACCAAGCAAAAAAGGGTGTCTTAAAGAGGGAAAGATTTAAAATGCATTCAGAAAAGTTCACCTTTAATATAAATAAAATATATATATGAGCCCAAAACGCAAACAGCAACCCATCAGCACTCATAATAACTCTTTGCACTCAGAAAAAGACAACTTCAAGAGGGAATTTTAAATTAAAACGTTTTTAGGAAATCCCAAGTGACAGCACAAAGTTGCAAACAGGCATCAAAATATTGTCCCATTTTGTCTAAAATTGTCCTTTTTTGTGTAGAAGTCCATCCCAGGGCATCATATAGCTAATATCCTCGTAATAAGGTAGCAATTTTAACAGCCATGGATGAGTTAATGCTCATGATGAAAGGTTTGTATTAACTCCAGACTTGGCCACCTGAAGGGTGCGGCTGGGCACGATGCAAGATCTGCTCTTGTGATGTAACCTCTCATGTCTAATATTTGACCCACATCTGAGGAGAAAGACCACCAAACGTGTGTGTGGCAGTGCAGAAATCACACACATCTGTGCTGTATTGACTAAAGATAGGTGGATAAAATCGGCCAAATGGCTGATAAGAAATAACAGATTTGACGCTCACAGATGTCAAACACATACAACACAAATGACAATATTTCTAACGGAACCTATAGTGTCTGCTGAGATGTGTTAGAATACTATATTTAGGCTAATTTGTTTTTGTTTTATTGGCTTATTAATTTCACTTTGATCAGCTACCTTGTCTGTGGTGGCTACATAAGGAGTTAAAATAACTTTGCAGTTGGAGCAGACACGCTTGTACCTATATAATATCTCCTTCAAATAATTATTTCAAACTATTAAAGGAAAAATAAATACATGTTTGAAGAATAGGCTATTTAAGTTTGAGAGTTCACTTTTCTGACGCGACTTAAACGCCTCACTTTCGAGCGCTCGCGAGCAATTAAGACAGAGCAAACACCTGCGCAAACAGCAAACCGCTGATATATTCTGTATCAGAGCAAAATTACAACACCAAAAGTGACACATTTGTCAAGCGAGGGAGATTAAACGAACTCCTTTCAGTTCCCACATCAGACTTTATGTTTCCTACCTTGTAAAACAAAGCCCGTGAACACTCAAAAAGCCTCTTCAACGGAGTCGGAGTCACAACATGTGAAAGGTAAATAATCCAGCTGAAATAAAGTCCTAGTGCATCCAAACACAGCGACAGAAAAGCCTGCCGGGAGGTGATGTTGAGAGCTCCGCTGGTGTTGTCAGCACAAAGTACAGAGGAGGAGGAAAAGAAAAGCGACTTATCGGAGACCAACTTGCAGAAAAGAAAAGCCCGGCCCCTCCACTGCTGCCCCCTCCCCTTCTTCACTCCGCTTCGCTCTCCTGCTGACAGAAATAGCAAGCGAGGCGGGCCCCACCAAAAATAGCCCTTGACTTTCAGAACTATTGTTTTCCTGCACTGACTTGACTCCCATTGGGTGCTCACTGCAGCCAATCCGCGCATTGCCCCAGTATAACTTTGTACAGCAGTATTTGTTTCAACAGTGTGAACTTTTTGTGTCAATTAAAATAAAAAATGGCCTAAACACTGTGGCTCCATCTGCTGTCAAAGTGACCAAAACCAGCGCTGTTGTTGCACCAAGGTGAGTAATGTGCCTCTGGGGGGCCCTGACGCCCTTCAGGATCTCTTTGGGGCCCCCCCAGAAAGTGAGGGTTTCCTTTTTTATTTGCCACGCCTTTAACTGCAAGACTTCAACTTCCCTTAATTACGCCATTTCTTTTTCTTTTTGCATATGACTATCCCCAAAATGTGTGCTGGTGAGTTAGAGTGAATTTCCATCACATAGGTCTACATGACTCATTGCAATGATCTGGTTTGTAATATGCATGTATCATTTGACCTTTGTATTAATTCCTGACCTCTAACATAGGCTATACATAAAGTGATTTTTGTAGTAAGTTTTCCCTTTAAAACATCCTTTCAGTCCCCCCAGATTCCATTTTTCCTGTATTATAGAAATTATCTCTGAATTTCTGTGCAAATTTCTGAATACAATGTCAGAAAATCTTTATATCCATGTAGCTGCACATGGAATTTAAATTTTAAAAGACATACCTTTTCTGTATTTTTATATAATAATGTTTCTGATTATAATACTTGCTTTTACTGCATTTATGACTTAAAGCACTCCTAAACATAATATTTGTTTTTGTAATAATTTACTGCTAATGTGCAGTAATATTTTATCATATTACAAACATTATGCAGAAATAATAAAAAAAAAGCTTTTACCAAACAAAATCAACCAGTGGTTACTGCTAAATACATGATTATAATTATAGACCCTCTATGGACTAATCAGAGGTGCTGCTTGTCAACAGGCAAGGCAGAGAACAGCTTCAGGCCCAGACCATAAGGGGTCCCCAAAGCAGTGGCCGGAAATGAAACCTCCCTAGGGGGTTCTCATCTGGCAGAACTCACTCTTGTTGCCTTGCTGAACGCTGTTTGGAGGGTCAATTTTTGCCCCATCAGACACTAGACTGGACCACTTGGACTAATGTGATTTCTGACGTTCCATGCACTTTTGATTCGAGCTTTAAATATAGATTTGAGAGACACATTTGCATTTATTTTTGTAAATGTAACACCACTATATTATAATTTTTAACACTGCAGATAAGTAAATTCAGCATCATTTAGATTATGCATCATGTTTTCAATAACAACATGACTTGTTTCCTCACATATGTGCAGTAGAGTTCAGGACTCCTTCAACATTGTTTCCATGTCCTCAATAACAGCAGAATAAATCCTGTTAGCACGGCCGTCCTGAGGAAATGTTTGGAATAGTTTCGGGGGGTCAAATAACAACGTCAGATATTGTCGAGCTGATTGTATAAATAGCTCTTTAGGAACATTATATTTCTTTCTCTGAAAAGCTTCAAATCATTCCACAAGAGAGATTCAAACAGAGACTATTTTGCTCGTATTCTGGGATTAAAGATTAAAGATCCGCCTTAAATCTGAGCTGATTCAGGTCAATCATCTCTCACCTGTACTGTAAAAGAGTAAACAGAAAAATAAAGACATGTTGTGTCCTCTTTGGTGAGCTGACCAGGTTTTTAAAGCAGGACTGAAACAGAGAGCTGTAAAATGAGAGAGGCTGAGGGAGCGTTCACTTTGTGTGAAGCAGCACACTTCCAACATGTTATTTATGAAGGGTAAACAATGCCTTTCATTGTGCAGTCTTTTCCTCCTATGGAAAACCTTTCTATTCACCCTGGAAAACCAGATCTAGTCAAGGTCGCTCCCGGCTTGGAGTGGATATTTCTACCATATGGAACCAAAAGGGGGATTAGCTTTCTGAAGCACGATCCCCTGAAAACAAATAAAATAAGAACGTTTATTCTCCCTGCAAAAAGTTAACTTAACATAGTGATAACTCCCTTGCTTCATCAGTTATATAAAGCTAATTTCACACCCTTATTGAAAAATAGCCCTTGACTTTCAGAACTATTGTTTTCCTGCACTGACTTGACTCCCATTGGGTGCTCACTGCAGCCAATCCGCGCATTGCCCCAGTATAACTTTGTACAGCAGTATTTGTTTCAACAGTGTGAACTTTTTGTGTCAATTAAAATAAAAAATGGCCTAAACACTGTGGCTCCATCTGCTGTCAAAGTGACCAAAACCAGCGCTGTTGTTGCACCAAGGTGAGTAATGTGCCTCTGGGGGGCCCTGACGCCCTTCAGGATCTCTTTGGGGCCCCCCCAGAAAGTGAGGGTTTCCTTTTTTATTTGCCACGCCTTTAACTGCAAGACTTCAACTTCCCTTAATTACGCCATTTCTTTTTCTTTTTGCATATGACTATCCCCAAAATGTGTGCTGGTGAGTTAGAGTGAATTTCCATCACATAGGTCTACATGACTCATTGCAATGATCTGGTTTGTAATATGCACGTATCATTTGACCTTTGTATTAATTCCTGACCTCTAACATAGGCTATACATAAAGTGATTTTTGTAGTAAGTTTTCCCTTTAAAACATCCTTTCAGTCCCCCCAGATTCCATTTTTCCTGTATTATAGAAATTATCTCTGAATTTCTGTGCAAATTTCTGAATACAATGTCAGAAAATCTTTATATCCATGTAGCTGCACATGGAATTTTCAATTTTAAAAGACATACCTTTTCTGTATTTTTATATAATAATGTTTCTGATTATAATACTTGCTTTTACTGCATTTATGACTTAAAGCACTCCTAAACATAATATTTGTTTTTGTAATAATTTACTGCTAATGTGCAGTAATATTTTATCATATTACAAACATTATGCAGAAATAATAAAAAAAAAAGCTTTTACCAAACAAAATCAACCAGTGGTTACTGCTAAATACATGATTATAATTATAGACCCTCTATGGACTAATCAGAGGTGCTGCTTGTCAACAGGCAAGGCAGAGAACAGCTTTAGGCCCAGACCATAAGGGGTAAACAAATAAATAAGAACGTTTATTCTCCCTGCAAAAAGTTAACTTAACATAGTGATAACTCCCTTGCTTCATCAGTTATATAAAGCTAATTTCACACCCTTATTGAAACATATACATGAGAATCTTGAGAGATGGAATTCCCTAGCTATTAGCTATGTTTGGAAGGATCTCGTTACTTAAAATTAATATTCTGCCTAAGCTTCTGTATGTGTTTCAAATGCTTCCAATCCTTTCAAAACGAGTAATTTAAGGAAATAAATGGCGGGTTTAGTACTTTTGTTTGGAGCAGGAAGAAACCTCGTATGAGCCTAGCTAGACTCATGAAGCCTCAGAAAAGTGTGTGTGTGTGTGTGTGTGTGTGGGGGGGGGGGGGGGGCTTTTGGTGCCTTCACAGTTGGGCTACATTGCTGACTGGATTAGAAATAACAGTGACTCTGTATGGCTTGATTTAGAATCTTTTCAGGTTAATCAGCACCTGAGGGGTCGCTTGTTTGCTTGTGAACTAAAGAAGGTGAAAACTCTTATTGGTGACAATATAATGATACAAACAACTATTAAAGCCTGGAAGAAAATTAGAGGGACTAGAGGGACAACTGTCCTCTTTCTCGCCTGTCTGGGGCAACATAGACTTCTCTCCTGGTACTACTGACAAGGGCTTTGAGATGTGGGACAGTAAAGGGATTGTTACCATAAGACATTTATATGAAAAGAAAACACTACTTTCATTTGACCATTTATGTTTTTAATTATATTTAAAGTACCTTCAGAAACAAGCTTTTTAAATAGCAGGAAAGACGGAGGTATTTCTCATCAACCCTCTCCACTGGAGAGATTAGTCTCTACTGGAAGGAAAAAGGGGCATACTGGGGCTTGGGTATGAAGCCCTTTCTAAATATGAAAAAGGCGAGCATTTATGGCCACTAATTGGAATGGGGACTTGAACAGATGCTGGTTACAAATATGGAAATTAGCAAACAATATTTCAGTTTGCAACAGGTTAAAAGAAAATCAATTTAGGTTGCTACACCGCCTGCAGATTACTCCCCACTTAGACATCGAATGGCTCATTATAAATCTGAACTGTGCATGAAATGTAATGTTGAGATCGGGACCTTTAGTCATTGTGTTTGAACCTATACATTTATAGATGACTACTGGAAAAACATGGCAGATAGACTAAACCTAATTCTTAACATTAAACTGAAAAAGGATCCTCTGTGTCTATTGTTTGGATGTTGTCAGATGCACAACTTAAAAATACACATTCCAAAAGACTTTTATGTGTCCACACTTTCTGTGCAAGAAAAAAATATATTGCTGAAATGAATAGATTGCAAACCTCCAACAATAGCTGGGTGGCACGAGGTTATTTTTGATATATTACCCATGGAATATCTGACTTACAAATCTAAGAGTATACTAGACTGACAAGCATTGTAATGAAGGGTCTGATAGATCATAGGAGTATGTGACTGATTCCCTATGGAGCTACACAGATCGTGATATATGTTGGTGTGTTGTGATGCTATGATGGATGCTGTCTTTGATTTATTTATCTATGTTATTTGTAATTTTCTATTTCTGAGGTGTAACATGGCCTCCCCCTGTTTTGTTTTTGTTTTTTGTTATATCTGTTGTTCTACTACAATTCAGTTTTCTCTGTATTGTTTTTGTTGCTGGTCTGTGTACGGTCTGCCAGAGATATGATCTCTCCCTTTATTTCTTCCACTTATCACACGGATCGCCTTTCTGAAACTGTTGAGTAATTTTTATCATATACTTTTATATCAGAAAATCAATAAAGATATTTGAAAACAAAACAATGAACTATTGTCAG